CAGCAACAATAAACGTCATTACTTTTATATAATCTTTATAAGGACGTCATAAAAACTAATATAAATTAGCATTTAAGACACGGGAGTTTTACCGCTACCTTTGATTTTAAGTCACTTAACCTGGTAGGTATGTCACTACAACCGATGCCATTATGAAATGATTTCTAGTAAATGTATAAATTATTAATGTGCAAGTAGAAAAAAAAGTATATATTTTAATTTATTTTGACAAACATGATAAAAAATAAATATGTTATTCTGCATATTAATAATTGTCACACAGCTCATAAAAATAATATCAGACTATTATTATTATTATTATTATTTACAATGTGCCTAGCAATGAAACTATGAAAGTGATATTTTTTACATTGTTGAAATTTCGACTAGTCATCAAGTGAATAATATGATATCAAGGTATACATAATAATAATAGTATATATACAATATCGAATATACTGCATTGCATACAAAATTACTTTTTTACATTCTCTGTTTCTAGGCGTAATAATTCGCTAAATTTGTCTTTTGTCTAAATAGCAAAATGAGAATCTTTTTTTCCATAACGAGCAATTTTATGAGAAAAAAATCTTTGTTTCTATTTTAATTACTTATCATAAATCATAACTATACATAATAAACACTGAATACGTGTAAAAAATGTAAAAACAAGAACATTATACTAATGTGATTCCACGCGGTCGTGCATACTATTGTAATTCTACACGTCCGTGTTACCATGATATTATAATATTTGAATAGTCAAATTCATATTGATAAATAATATTATATTAAGTTAATTTAACGAATAATTAATCCTTTGATAAATTAAATGTACTTAAGTAAAACGACTGGCGTATAAATACTATATCCATATATGCGGCTTATGATCGATGAAAGTTATCTTGTATTGGGATGATAAAGCTCAATTCATATTTACTATTGGTTTTGTATTACCTATGCATAGTTTGTATAAAACTAACACTAAAATTTCATTATATGATAAAACCGACAAGAAATGATATTCGTATAGGTTTTACGAAACGCATTTAGTATGTGATTTATACTTGTAGTAAGTAAAAACGTGTTTTTTCCATGGTAACGACAACTGCGAGTACAAGAGTACAATTCATATAATATACTCTACCTGTAAATTAAAAATGCAAAGAGTTATTTTGAAATTACCATTTACCAATATTATTTTTTTATGTGAAAATAATGTACAGATATAAATATATGTAAAGGGGGAATTTTTAAATATCAAAATATCAAATAATAAAAAAATTTTTTTGCTTAAAAAATTCTATTTTATAACAGATAACAATTTAAAAAAATCTTAGAATATAATATTGTGCATAGTATATCAATATAGTCATAATATCATAGCAATCGACGACGTTTTTTTAATAATTTCATAATAAATTAATTTTGAAAATTAGTGACAGGCAAATTAGCCATCACACATTATTGGAAAATGAGGTACTTCTTTTTTCAATTAAAATACGAAAACGAATTTGTCATTTTTCTTAAAAAAAAAAGAAAATTTTGATTACATTTTTCCATCAATAATTTCCATAAATAAAACTATTAAATTTAATTTTTCTTTCTAGTCTTCCTTAACCAATTAAATTTTCACCAATGGATTTATATATAAATTAAACGGTTAAGTATTCTTAAATAGTAGTTCTTAACTATCACCATATTTGAAGACCATTTTTTGTGTTTATAAATGCATAATTTCGTTTTTGTATCGCATTAGGATAGTGATATGTCGTTGTGCGATATTAAATTACTTAACGCATTAAAAAAATAATAACTACATCCGGTAAGGATAATCTGATTTTCCGAAAAAAAAGTATTTATTATGAAATTATCTGTGAGTATTTTTTACAATTCTAGATTAAGCAGGAAGGGAGTTCCAGGAAGTACGAAAATAAGTTTTAAAAAATATAATAAAATTTATTCATATCAAGAAAAATTATTTAATTTGTGACAAATTAGTATTTTTTAACAACATAATATGACAAAGTCAAAAATTAGTGAAATACAGAAATGATATTAGTCATTAGTGTATTACCATGCAATTATTCAAATAATATTATTAACATGTTATTTAATCATTAATCGGTATTAGTTGTTTTAGACTTATCCGTGTGATGTAACAATATAAAGGTATTGTGCATTACAGTTCCTTTAATATGCTTTAAATAGAATTTATTACTGCGATAGATGTGGTAACTACTGTACCTATTTTTTCTGTTTAAATAAATTATAACGGAGTACAATACATATAATATTGCATAGCTTATGATTTCGCTAGGATTATTACTTTAATTTTAAATAGTTGCATAAAAAAGTAGTAATTAAAAATACTTTGAAGTGAAAAGGGTTGAAGTTTGAGGTTGAAAGGAGTGTCAGGTGTTTTGGAGTCCATTGGATTTTTAATCCGTACTTGATAATTCACATAGTCATTTTTTACCATATCATAGTATATCTTTTATAATACTAATATGGTATATGTATAAATTATTGCCTAAACGTTTACTCTTAACAAAGAACTGCCGTAATGGGTCTCTTTAAGTCAAAATAATAGTTACTTTTCTTTTAGAGTATTTTAGTGTTGATTTTAGTACCATCTACAACTATTTGTTCGATATCCAAGTGACACTTTTTTTCTTATTTATACATGTGATCAATTTATGAGTAAGATAAATAATATATAATATAGGTGTGTACCTACACTTTTCTCTACATTTCCAAGTGAAATTCTAAAATCGAAATTTCCTATTCACTATCAGGCAATCACTGTATAGTTAAGGTTACAATTGAAGAAACGTATTTAACTATATTTGGTTATAAGTCATAAAGCCATAACTCATAAGTCACAAATGAATAAGCTTATTTATATTATATTTGTATTAATTATCATGGTAAATATAATTATTTTAATATCAATATATGAATCAAGATTTGAAAATACTTCAAAAAATATACTTAATACTTCGAAAAATGAAATTGAAATATTTCACACGCTTGGAATTTTAATTACAATATAAATATATATCAAATAGATATATTTAAAACAGTTTGGAAATAATAAATTTATGACAAATAGCATAATAATATATAAACGCCTATTCAAGTAACATGCATTCTACGTTACATGTAAAAATTGTCTAAGTTTAACTAGATCTGATATTTTTACTTAACAATTTAAAATCGAAACGAGTGTAATTGAATGACTTAACAAATCTAAATATTTTAAAATATAATGGCACTTAAGCATTATCACAATCAGAAATAAAGTACATAGATCCCCAGAACTGTGCCAAATTAACTGCTTATTAAGTAAGTCGTACTAAGAAAATATTATTTATGTTTTTTTTTTTATTGAAATATAAATAATTATAATTGAAAAAAAAATACTTCAAATATTGTTTTAGTAGGTCAGTATTTCTAATAGTTGATATAAGAATTGTTGTTTTTTTTTGTAGACAATTTTTTGAGTTAATAATATAAACACACCATATTATTGTATACTCGTATCTTACCACAAATATATGTATTTTTCAGCTGTATATTTTACTCCGATTATACGCAGAATATATTATATCGAGTGTTAATGAAGTAATTTATGTTAAAATAATTTACACCCGTATAGTATATATTTTTAAATCACATAATTGGTGACTTAAGTTCTTTTAAAAATACTATTTTTATCTATGTCATAGTTGTCCTTAAAAGTTCAACAATTAGAATTTGAATAAGAACATTTATTATCCGAGAAAAAAAATTAGCGTGACTAGGTGAGCATGATTAGTGAATCATCCTGTATTATAATATATCGTATTTTATATATCTTTTATGTAATATTACACGGTCGACACACCTATAATATTATCTATAGTACACCTACTCGATGACTATCCTCCAGTGCATGTAGCGTACATATATATTGTTATTATTTCGTCATACTACAATGATAAACCTATAATACTTACGTAATAATAAATTATCGTTGCTTTTTATTATAATACCGTAAGATGTTCCAAAATAATTCATCTGATTTAAATAAACTAGATTTATTGTAGAATTTGAGTATGATTATGAGTCGGGTTAATTTTTTTAAGTTCGTAATTATATTTAATTTTTGCCACAATCTTTACAAATGCTCAGTGTAACTTTCATTTGTATGGCAGATGTCAAAGTGATATTTAAATTCTCCATTAACCTGTTAAAGTGAGTTGATTTTAATTGAATCTGAGGCATCCATACTGTGACTTTTCAGCTTGTTAAGATATCTTAGAGAGAGTAATAACATTGTCTTTTATATGTTACTTACACAATGCATGTATTTTAATCAGAGGTTTTTGAACTACTATAATAATTAAATAATTAATAAATAACGATTTATTCATGATATAAAATTAATATAAAAAAATAAACAAAAAGAGCAGATGTACTTTTAATCTAATCAAAATACAATATCGTCATAATATAATAAAATAAATAAATAAGTGATACAAATGAAATTATAAATCATTCAAAGCCGCGAGTCAAAAATTAGGTTTGTACTTTTTTGATGACAATGCTCTTTACAAATTTTAATCTCGTTTTTTTTTATTTTCATTTATTCTAATGTATTTATCAAATCTCATTAGAAATGTTGGAAGTTTTTTACTTCGAGCTGGATATAAATTATTTAGGAAACAAAATCCATTCATGCCTATAATAATTTATGACATTATAAAATATATTTTTCAATAAAATATTAGAACTCACCTTTTACTATATACCAGGGGTGGCCAAACCGCGGCTCGCGAGCCGCATGCGGCTCGCGTCATAGACTTTTGCGGCTCGCATCTTATCGTAACCTTTTTACAAAAAATTTGAAAACATGAATTTATGTATTTGAAAAAGTATAATATTTTATTAAATTACAGTGTATAGAAAAAAATTTGTAAAAATAAAGTGTTCTTGATATAATTTTTCTTCATAGACTATTTTCTTATTTGTTGTGTGTTTATTTTGCATGTAAGCTTTTTAAAATCAGGACTATATGTTGTTAACGCAGTCCTTAACAATTCAGTTAAATGATCATCCGTTAATGTTGATCGATGTTTAGATTTAATCATTTTCATGGTTGAGTATAGAGACTCACAAGAATATGTTGTTCCAAAAATCGATATTAACTTTTGAGCGCAAAGAGTAATTTTTGGATATTTAATAACAGGCACATGTTTCCAAAATTCCAACAAAGAATGACAACTGTATTTGAACTGCTTCAGTCCTTCATCTTCTAATAATTCTAAGAGTTCAATTTCTAAAGCTGCCGTATCCATTGAAATCGATTTTAATATTGGACATCCATTTTCAATAACATTAATGACAAAGGGATTTTCTAAAAATGCAATCGAAGGTTTAAGTAATTTCAAGTCTTTAAATCGATCTTCAAAGTGAGTTGATAAACACTCTAATTTTTGTACATAATCTTCACAATTCAATTTTATTGCTATTCCAACCAAATAATCCTCAATTTTTTTTAAGTACGGAAAATGGTTTAAATTATTTATTCTTAAGTCTCTTTGAAAAAGTTTAAGCTTATTTTGGAAACTAAAAATGTCTTGTACTAGATTATTTATGAATTTATTTTTACCTTGAAGAGACATATTTAATGTGGCTAAGTGATGCACAACGTCAGTACAAAATGACATATCTCTTAACCATTGTGGGTCTGAAAGTTGTGGAAAGTTTTTATCTTTTTCTTTTAAAAATGTTTTAATAGGTTCTAATAAATCGAAAAATTTTATTAAAACGTTATTTACCGATAACCATCGAACTAAACAATACCACGGAACATCATTTGGAATATCATCCTCTAAACTTTCAACAAAGTTTTTAAATTGGCGATGTATCTTTGAACCTGAACGTATGTAGTTTACAATTTTAAGAACAACACTCATCACATGTTCATATTTAAAATATTTAGCCGTTAGGTGTTCTCTATGAATAATGCAGTGAATTGGAATAAAGTCTGGAAAATCAGTATCACTTTTTAAAATACCTATCAATCCATTTTTACAACCTGTCATACTGGGTGCACCATCAGTTGAGACGCTAACAATTTTTGCAATCGGTACTTCTGCTTTACGGAGTACTACGTCAAGAGCATCCTTAATATCACAACCTCTAGTAGTTTCTTTAAGAGCTATAAGATCTAATAATTCTTCTTTCACTTCCATATTCATCGTCACATAACGTATAAAAATAGCTAACTGTGGTTTATCCTGAATGTCAGTAGATTCATCTAACGCTAAACTTAATGCAGAACAATTAGCAATTTCATTTTGTAAATTAGAGAAAATATCTGAACTTATCATTGAAATACGTCTTTCCATAGTATGTCTACTATTCGAAATATTTTCAACCATATTTAATAATTTTTTATCTTCCGGTTTTAAAATCGAAATAACATCTATAATGTTTTTTGTTAAATATACCCCATCTGTGTATGGGCGCTTTGCTCGAGCAATATTAAACGCCATACAAAAACTCGCTTCAGTAGTTATATCGGTTTCTTTGGAAAATACCGCCATAACATTTGTTTGCTTATTTAATTTTGATTTCATTGTGCTTAATTTATTTTTTCTCAAATCAGAACCCGTAGGAAATTCGTTACTAAACGAACTGTGGTTTGTTTCATAATGGCGTTTTAAGTTACTAACCTTAAATTGTGATAGTTGGGATTGACAGATGAGACAAAATGGTTTACTGTTTCGTTCTATGAAAAAGAACTCTTCTTCCCATTGTAATTTGAATTCTCTGTGTTCTTCTTCATACTTGCGTTTCTTAGACATAATAATTATTTTATTAATGTTGTGTAGTTGTGTTGTTACACTTACACGCACGACGTCAAAAAGCACTATGAAGACATAATATCCATTATCCATGTGTGTCTATGTCTGTATGATATTTTTATATTTATGGTATTTATGAAGATAAAATTTAATTTGAGATTATCGTACAATTATTGTTATCGTATTCTTCACATTTTATTAAATACGATACCTTATCTTATTTTATTTACAATATCACATATATATAAAAATTATATAGTAATATGACCTTTTTTTTTTACATTTTGGCTCTTTCGTATTTATTAATATATTTGGTGGCTCACGAGTCTCTTCTCGCTGGCCACCCCTGCTATATACCATTAAAATGACTTAAACTTGATAATCACTTACTTTAAATGATAGGTAGTTCGTTAACTAACTGAAATTAGACGTATCATTTTAGAACGTCTTTTTCTTGTATATATATAAATAAATAAATAATATTTATTTTATTATGCACTGTACTAGTAAAAGAAAAATAAACATGAGCTTATAACAATGGAAATATGATGTGCACGCGGTTCGTTTATTTACTTAGAGATATGTATTAAACACATCAGGTATTATTATATAAAGTTATGCAAGGCCTATTGGTAGTAGATGTACAGTTATATATTTGTAGATATACTATATAGATGTATAAATGTGTGTAGGTAGGTACGACTGTTTTACAAGTACTGGTTTACTGGAAAAAAAAAAAATTAAAAAAATCAACCAAGATGCGCTGCCGAAGTAATTTCGTATTGCACGTATAGCAGGTACGAATAATAATATATTCTTCATTATACAGAATAGTCTAGAATAATGTTCTATTCAAACTATAACAAGAGATTATGTTTTACAAGTATCGCTCTAACAAGCTGGGGCAAAATTGCAAGGGTAACAGGGTGAAGGTTAAAACCTCTAGCTTTGCTTATATGTTGTTGTCTTGTTTTAATTCCAAGTTTAAATACAAATGCACATAAATTATTACAAAAATAAAATATGAAAATTGTTTATCTCCCTCATAAAACAATTTCAATTTACATGGCGATTTTTCATCCAGTATTTTAACGGTTTACTATACATTTTTGTTTTGTGTTTTATAATTTTAGAACGTTTAAATTACATAAATATTATTTAAATTATGTAAAACCGTAGAATAACACTTATGTTTACATATCCTCTTAAAGTTATGTTAAAAATATTTTTTCTAAAGCTTAGGTTAGGTTTAACCTTGCCGATAATAATTTAAGTAATTATATATTATACATTTATGCACCGATTTTTACTTTAATATTTACTTTAAAAAACTATAAAAATACTTGTTCAATATTTATTAAATCGATGTTTTAAAGAAAAAGATCTCTTTAATAATTTCCAGTATACAAGTATTAATTATGGAACATGACTTAAATTAGTATATTTAAACATTTTAGTATTTAAAAATATAGTCCATAAGGGTACATGAAAATTTAAAAAATAAGAATTGAAACAGATTCATTATTAAATGATAATTTGGGGTTGGACATGCTCGTTAATTCACTCTGTAGGTATGTTAGTGCTTACAATATTTGTGCGTTCTTTTTCCCAGAAAAACATATAACAATAAAATTAATTTAATAAAAAGTTCAGGAGTGAAGTTTAAGCTGTTGAAGTTGTACAACGTACTTCCAAAAATGAGTTCATAACATTTTTTATTTCACATTTAATAGGATTTCGAAAGATCGTTCGAATATTGAACATATAATATTAAAAAATGAGTGGTAGTTAAAAAAGAAAAAGAAGTGAGAGTGAAAAAACTGTAGATATTAGATTGAAGGAATGGTTTTTAAAAGTAAAGAAAAAAGAGACCCATATTAATAGATTACTTTTACGGAAAAATTTAAAGGACTTGGCTATGTGTGGTAAACGCAAGAATATTTTTGGCTAATTAAAAAATACATTTTGGCTAATAGACTGGGATGGAGACGAGATCAAATGGAACATTTTATTATTAAAAAATAAATTATATAATAACTAAATAAATAAATACTTAATGGCGTATTAGAAACAATCAGTCGATTGAAATATTTTACTTTGGCCCAAGAGTGTTCTCGATAAACAGCATCTATCTTATAATGTTAAAATATTATAAAAATAAACGATTTTAATGGCTTCATATATTAATATTACTGAAAATATGCACGGATTTTATCAAAAATAAACTTATAATATAATAATAATAATAATAATATAGGTACAAATTCTATGATAATATTGATATTTCAGTTTGGATTTTTGACGAAATAATATTGCGTAGTACGGATAGATGCAAAACGTGATCAACCCATAATAATTTTAAGAAAAACTTTTTTCTTTTTCAACCAATTTAAGTTAATATATTTATTTTTTTCATATTGGTTTCATACATTTTGCGAATTAAATGTATTAAATTTATCATTCGTAAACCATGAACTTCTAACGACATTGTATTTATTCACCAATCGTAATTTACAAACTGAGTCGTCGACACTATTATTTTCTTCGACTCGCCCGGCACCTTTGAAAAATAATATTATTATAATAATATCAACACGTATTATAAACGCGTACGACGGTGGCAGGTCAAACAGAGTGCGTAGATGCTCGCACGCACGCATCGCCCAAGTTATTTTTAGTGCAGTGTATTATTACATTATTATACGTGTGTAGACATTATAATATGCTGTGCGACTGTCTTCAACACTTACGGACGAGACTTTCGAGTCTTGCCGTGAAATCCGATTTCAATTATTCCAGACGAACGTCGTCGTCGTTGTAATATTACTACGCAATACTACGCGCTAGACTACATAATAATTTTATTAATATATGTATTATACATAATATTGTAGAGAAATGTGATGTGTACGAGTGTATTTCGCCGAACGCTTTTTTTCATTGTCGTTATTATTTTTTTTTTTCGCCAAGTAGAAAACAACGAGACGTTTTACTTTTTTATTTATTTCCATTTTTTCTTTTCTTTCGTTTTTTTCCAACGATATAATTTGAACTTGGAAGCCCTATGCGCGTACATAATACTATAATAATGAATCGCGCAGTTTGCAGGGTTTTAACTTCATGATATACCTATACCTAAATATATTTTATTATATTTTATATTTAAGAAAAATAAAAAGTAATTAATTACAGACAATTGAAAAATGTTTTAAACACAAATACACAATACATTATACAAATTACAATATTTAATGAATGCTTCATAATATTTAGATATAAATACTGTATTAATTACATAATATTAAATTCATTCTTAATTTAAAAATGTTTGTCCAGAAAGCTGAAGATATTATTTTCTTGAAATCAATGCAGCTAAATACTTCATTGATGATCATACTAAAATATACAATTTTCAGATGACAAGACTATACATCTTTAAGAATATGGCCTAGATTATAGTATTTTTTTTTTCAAAAATAATACAA